ATCCCAGAGCTCTTTTTTTTAGAAGCTGCCACAGCATTACTCATATATACTAAATGTCAAACAATAAATAGGAATCGCTGTTCACGGAACAGATGAAAGCGTTAATACTGAATACAAGAAAATATATTAAAAAAAAAAAAATGACTGCTGAAATGCTGAGCCCAGGGGCAGAACACACATTTTGTTTGTTTTAGGAGCGTAATGGAGTGAAAATAAGTTGAATGACTGATTTGGTAATACGTAAATGGTAGCCTGACAGAGGGATTTACACGCTGGTGCTTTGGGAAACAGGTTCTCAGAGCGCTCTGCATGTAGAGTCACAGCTCTTGGCAATACACCATACAGCTTGTACCTGCTGTGCTTCAGGTTGTCTATAGATGTAAGACTTGTGGCGCATTTCCTGGACATATAGAGCTTTCTTCAATACTTCCGTACTATACATCAAGTTCTGTATGATTGTTTGATTATATTATGATGGAAAAAGCTATTATTAAGATGAAAAATAATCTTAGTTCCAAAAACTCAAATCAGATGGTCAACTTTCCCACCATGTAGGCTTAGCAGGAGATGTCTATCATAGATAGGTAGGGTCAACGGATATACAGATGTTGCCTTTGTCAGTTATTCAACCACAGGTTAAAAGACATGGCATTTTGCCTTACCTTGTGGTGGGACTGCGCTGGAATGGCTGCCCATTGCAGTCCTCCCACTCCTGGTGTGAATATACCCTTAAAATACCCAAAAATATTTCATACTTTATCCACTAAGATTTCCACTTATGGCTGCCCAACAGTAACAAAAAAAATTTTGGTTGGAAATAAAGTTTAGTATTGTTCCCCAAAATATGATAAGAAACAGTTTGCTGAACATATTGGAGTTAATTGGCAGCGTGAAAGGGCCCTCTATTGCATAAATAAAAGTCTGAAAAATGTATAGTCATCTGCTCTATAAATTAGTGACAAGTGAATGGAATTTTATTTTCACCTCTGACACAATTAGGCTTTCTGCCATGCTTGGCTCTCTTGGTGCTGTTGTTATCAATGTCAGTATTTTTTTACTATTTGCATAAAGGTGATCAAAATTGGAAAAATCCTTTATGATGCTGATAAGCTCAAACCAAAGCTACTATCCACTTTAAAGGTACAATCTAGTGAAGACCAAAAAGAAAACCTATAGAAGTATGCAGGTAGAATAGCCTGCCTATTAGGTTGTTCCATTATTCCTTCCAGACGTTAATGTACTACACCAGTCCATATCAGCCCATTGTGTCTGTAATCTGATGATCCTGGAACACGCCTGCCAGGGATGCTGGAACACCCTCTGTACTGCCTCTGACAAAGTCTTTCGTAGAGCTAAAAACATTTCTCATACTCACAAATCACATTCAAACTTGTCTTGGAAGTTTAAAAGGGGATGGAAATGCAGCACAGAGAAAAGTTACACAAAACAGGATTCAGAAAGTCCAATCCTACTGCCCTCCTACCAGGGGCGGACTGACAACTCATGGGACCCCCAGGCAATAGGGGATCATGGGGCCGCTGTGTCCTTGCCCAAACTCAAAAAAGCCTATGAAAAAGGTACCAGGGGCATCTCATGGGGTCCCCTACTGACCCCGGGCCCTCGGGCAGTGCCCGAGTTTCCAAATGGTCAGTCAGCACCTGCCTCCTACTGACCATCTATTGGGCTGAGTGTGCTTATTCTGCAGCTGATTCCATAGAGTCAACACAGTTTGGCTTTTTCCCATGCATAGCTCTTTCTGTGCTATTGTTATCACTGTCAGCATTTCTTTTTGCTTACATAAAGATGATCGAACTTTTCAAAATCCTTTTTCTGGTGCTGATAAGCCTAATTCAAACCTAAGATCCATTTGATACATATAGCCAAGACCAAAAGGTAAACCTTCAGATGTATATAGGTAGAGGAGCCTGCTTACTAAGTTGATTTGTTTTCCCATCCAGACATTGATGTCCATATCAGCACCTTGTGTCTGTAATCTGATGATCCTGGAACACGTCTGCTGATGATACCGGAGCATCCTCTGTATTGCCTCTCACACACAGAAAACCTTTTTATAGTCACAAATCCCATTTGAACCTGTTTTGGAAATTTAATGGGGATTGATAATACTGCAGAGAGAAAAAAGTTACACAGAATAGTATGGATGTAGCCAAACCTGATTGTCTTCTGCAGTTGGGATCTATGATACTAAAACTATCGTGTCACTTCTGCCTGTCTGACAGTTTCAAAGTGCAACTGTCAGAGTGCTGGTACCCCCAAAATATGCCATTAGTGGAGACAATGAACCTCACCACTGGATACATCATTGCTCCTCTGCTTGGCCTTCTCCTGTCAGGTAAGGCAGCCCCCAGGGCTGGATCGTAAAGGACTGAAGGGGTGTGGAGCTCATATGAATGTACTCTATGGGCTGCTTTCTCGCAGTATCCCCAACATATAAAAAAGACACCCCCCTTAGTACCAGTGCTCCTACCCAGGGCTGTGAATAAGGGGATACCTCCAGTACTCCTAGTCCAGGCCAGCAGGGGAGCCCAGGCAACTGAGTAAATCAGATGTGGGCATGGAGTGTGATTGGCATGGCAGAGGGGCATTCATCTGCTGCTGTAGAGAGAGCCATACAGTGGGCTGGTCCCAGTATTTCCCCCCTGTGCAACCATCACTCTCCCTGTACACCATACATTTCCTGCTGCTGCCCAGGCCCCCTGTGTTACCCCACCCCCACAGAGCTACTGGGTTCCCCTCTATTGTTCCCTCAGCAGCTGCAAGAACACAATAGGATCCTTCAGGATGGAGAGTGGGTCAAGGGTCCGGTAAATATGCCACATTTACCAATCGTTCCTTTCCCGAATAAACACAATGAGTGATTGGTACCGAACACTCACTATGCTCATTCACACCTGAAGCATAGTAAACCGTGTTTTTTTGGGGGGGGGTTTGGGGGTAGGGTCAGGTTGGCTGTATGGGGCCCTGTGGTTTCTGTCTGACAGCAGCTCTGCTCCTCCTGACCCTCTATGGGGCTATGTCTGCTTATTCTTCGGCAGATTCCATAGAAGCCATATTAAAGGTACATTTGGTGGTGCTCTGACTTTGGCACAGTTGCTTTGTTTACTGCTTGGCATACGTAGCTGAATGTTTTTACTTGCTGCATGGGATTGCTGTTTATAGTAGAACACCATTCAAAATGTTGGATCAGCAGCCAGCCAGGCCAGGCAAGCAGTATTTTCAGACGGAGGGGTCAGCAGTGCATGCCTCATATTATATCAGTACAGGTTTCTCTATCCTACAGTATCTCAGCACTCAGTGACAATCTTTCATTTTTGTTGATTTTGTTTTTCATCTTTTTGATATGCAAAGCCAAACTCTCTTCTAAAATATTGTTTTTTCTTCTTTAAATCTTGCCTTGTCGGTATAGACTCCGAACGGGCGCAGATAAGAAAATGGCAAATTGATTTTCGCAAGCGCAGCTGAGTCACTATAGATTCCCAATACAAGGATTTATCTTGGTGATTGCTAATTACATTTCTTCTCTAATATCTCAGTTTCCACCCAATGAACACGGAGGGACCCGTGCGTCTTTGCGGCGCGGGCGCCTTGTGCCGTCTCCGCTATCTGCTCTCGATATCATTTGTCTGCATTGCATGGAACAGGCCCCTTGCGCATTCCATTACGGCGCACAAACGCAATTATTGGCAAACCGCAGTGTTTTACATGATAAGTGCTTTGTAATTGCAAACATGCCTCCATATTCATCAATCTGAATCTACTTCCAATTAAAGAGTATTTTTACAGAACGTCAATGGCTTTTTCAGTAACTTACAGAAAAAAAAAAGTTGGACGGTAGACTTGATTAATATTGGAACAGAATTACACACACTTTCAGAATCCTGTAGTCCCCTTGTGCTCAACTTGCTGCCTGAGTGCATGCGGCCCTTCGGCATACCTCCCAACTGTCCTTGATTTTGAGGCACTGTCCCTGATATGGGTCAAAGTCCCTCTGTCCCTTCTTCCCCATCGTTTGTCCCTCATTTTGGTCTGATCTACATAGTTGTACTATTTATCTTTCAAAAAGTGTTTCCCAGTGTAACCCCTGACTCACATATGTGTGTTCCTGCGGGCCACGTTTTGCACGGGCATGATAGCCCATTCATATGAATGGACTCCCGTGCCCCGGGACACGCAGAGAAGAAGTCCCAGTTGGTTCTCAGTGCAGTTGCGATTTCCAGTGCAGGCTGCGTGCCATTAGAATTAATGGCACCCACCCCCGGGTTCGCATTCTTCTGTGTAGGTGGTGCGGCTGTACGGATTTTTGTGCGGACCCGCAGCGGCACCACCCGCACATATGTGAACCTAGCCTTAAACCTTTCATCCAGTTTCTAAATTGTTGCATTTGTAAACTTTAAAGGCCAGTTTAAAGGAATAGTAGTGGTAAAAAAAAGCACTTGTGGGTTTACGTAGCCTCCCTAGCGGTCTGATTATGTCCATATTTCTGTGCTCAAAGCGGTACATTGTTTTCAATGGAAATATGTATTTTTTTTTATTGTAGGCCTGTGATTCTTAGGAATAACTCAGTGAAATCTGTCCGAACAAGAGTCTAGTAAACATTCCGGATATGATAAAATTTGAAACACGAAATCATAAATTATAATTTAATAAATACTCAAATTAATAATAATATAATAATAATAAATGTAATTCAATAATATAATCAAACCGAAAACACTGAAATTTGAAATATAGCGCCAAGTTAGCACATCACTGAGCAAAGTCGCAGAATCGTTTTCAGTGTCTGATGACGAATTTCTCCACGAATCATTATCACTCAATTCTGCAAGTGGTTCTGATTTACTATCGCTGTTCTCTAGCTGGTCTAAAACCGCTTTTGACCTAAAGGGACGCTTTTTGGACGCCATGGACGTTTCTCAGTTTCCAGGCAGAAAGAACAGTAAAAATGCAGGCAGGGCACAGGACAAAGCACTCGGGACAAAATGTATGTGAAATGGTTTGATACAGTAATGTTATACTATGTGATTTTAGTGTATTGAGTGAATGTCACTTTTTCACATTTTTAAATTTTCCCGCCGTTCCGTCCCCGTACGTCCCGACGTCGCAGGGAACGGAACCCGGAAGACAGATGCCGGCATTGGCCGGAGGACATTGCAGGGGACACTGCAGGGGGGACATCGCGGGAGTGGAAGACAAGGCAAGTGAAGAAAAGATCCCGGAGCAACGCTGCAAGGTATTCCCGAGTGTAGCTCGGGATTACCGCTTGTGGTGCTGAAACTTTACCCCGAGCTACACTCGGGAATACTTTCAGGGAGGTTAATTTTTTTTCTGTGTAATTCTCCTTTACGGGGGCATGGCCAGGGGTGTATTTACCACAAGGCAAACAAGGCGTTTGCCTAGGGTGGCATTTTTCAGGAGGGCAGCGCCGTCCCCAAAAGAAGGAAAGGAAGAAGGGACATATGCAGGATGAGGGCCAGGTGGGATCTGAAAAGGGCTACTTGATGGTGTACGGAGAGCCTGACTTTTGTTCCTGGGGATGTCCGGAGATTGAAAGGTGAGTGTTTTATCTCTTGCCGGGGTAGGGGAATGGGGTTTGCCAGTGTATGGGGGGCGGTGATAGTGGAAGGCTCTCTCGGGTGGGGGTGGGGGGGGGCTTGGGTGTTGTTGGTCAATGTCAGGCTCTCTTCGTGGGTGAGGGGGGTGTTGGTCGGTGTTGGGGTCTCTCCGTGGGGAGAGGAGACAATTTTTGTGTTGCCTAGGGCAGCACGAAACCTAAATACACCACTGGGCATGGCAGGGGGTGTTCCCTATGCCTACATACATTTGCTAATATTTGTCCCTCGTTCCCATCTCAGAGTTGGGAGGTATGCCTTTGGTACTTATGGTACAGCCCTTGAGTCTCAACAGCCAAAAAAGTAAACTCTCCCTCTCATATATATATATATATATATATACATATAGTGTATATATATAAAAACGTTTTTTCTCGTCTCTTGAATTTCTTTAGATTGCGGCATGATGTGTTGCTTTTTGAGATCTTTTAGCATGCTTCACTTTGTCAGACAGCTTCTATTTAAGTGATTTCTTGATTCAACATGTCTGGCAGTAATCAGGCCTGAGTGTGGCCAGTGAAATTTAATTCTGTTTTCCAGAAAACGTAGTTGATCACAGTACATTCATGTTTTAGCAAAGGGAGGCAATTACTTTAGGGCCAGGCCGGTTTGGACAGCTTTTTTCCCTTAATAAATTAAATAATCATTTAAAAACTGCATTTTGTATTTACTTGGGTTATCTTTGTGCAATATTAAAAATTGATGATTTGAATCATTTAAAGTATTACTAAACCCACCACAGTAAAATCAGTCTGTATATGCAGTAAAGCATGCTTGTTATACTCACTGTGGAACTTAAGAGGTTAATCCTCTGCACTGTGTAAAAATGCTGTTTGATCCTGTCTTCTCTGATCCTCCCCTTCTTCTACTGTCCCCAATCCATCTGCTGATAGTACAGAGCTCTAGGAGTCACTTTGCACATGCTCAGTTTTGTGTGTATTGCTAGAGGGTTTTTTTTATTCTTTGGGAGGGCACATGTGATCAGCACAGGGCCAGTCAGCGCTGTCCAGACATAGGGTCAGGGGTCTTGCAGTCTCATCGGACAGTCAGAGGAGAATGAAAACTCCTCCTACAAGTTTTAACCAGTGCTCTGCTGGACACTGATAGAAGTCACAAGACTGCTATATACTGCTGATGAGAAAAGGTATTTAGGAGTTTATTTTTACTACAATAATTGCATTTCAATGGTGTGTGTACTGTGGGAGACCAGATATAGTGAATGCAGGGTCCTGGGAGACCAGATATAGTGAATGCAGGGTCCGGGGAGACCAGATATAGTGAATGCAGGGTCCGGGGAGAGCAGATATAGTGAATGCAGGGTCCGGGGAGAGCAGATATAGTGAATGCAGTGTCCAGGGGGACCAGATATAGTGAATACAGGGTCCGGGGAGACCAGATATATAGTGAATGCAGGGTCCTGGGTAGACCAGATATAGTGAATGCAGGGTCTGGGGAGACCAGATATAGTGAATGTAGGGTCCTGGGAGACCAGATATAGTGAATGCAGGGTCCAGGGAGACCAGATATAGTGAATGCGGGGTCCGGGGAGACCAGATACAGTGGATGCAGGGTCCTGGGAGACCAGATACAGTGGATGCAGGGTCCTGGGAGACCAGATACAGTGGATGCAGGGTCCTGGGAGATCGGATATAGTAATACTTTAGGTGTAACAAATATGCAAAACAATTGGGAAGGGGGAAAATACTTTGCACTGTATAGCACTATCTATAATCATTGTATCTCTCTCTCTTTCTCTCTCTCTCTCTATCTCTCTCTATATATATAATACTGTATATTATATATTATTCTTAGTATCTTAGTATTTGTTTCCCCTTAACATGCTAATTGCTATTATTTTTAAATCTTTTCCATTTAATTACACACCTTATTTTAGACACAATGAATAGCTTCCTGAAAACATCACAGTACCCTGCCCCAGTACTCCTTTCAAGAGCTCTCAGCCCTGATGCAGGCAAGTAGACTGGCTCTTGGGACGAGTTATTCCAATATCTAAATGTCTTCATGGGTGGATGTCCATCTGGAGAAGTGGGCATCCTTGGGCAGGATGTATTTGCATGCAGACCGCACTATGCAACACTCACATGTGATTATGAGCCATTATGATTGAAGAGCTGAAATACAATGAATGAAAGGAGGCGTATCGGGGATAGTTAGGATGGGGGCAAGAGAGCTAAATGATGCTGGATGTCCTCCAGCCAGGAAATGAGGAAGGCTTTATCTGACTTGCTGTGGCTTCTAATGAAGCTTAGAGGATGCAGTGAAATCAGAGTAAGCAATTTCAGTACAGAAGAGGAGCCTGTACTACAGTGCAAGGCTGAAGGGAAGGCTTGAGTTCAACTTTAAAATATGTAGAGGTTTTAATATCAAACATCTATTTCATTACTTTTTATTTTGAATCTATCCACACCTATATGTCTAGGACATAGTATTTGGAGTTTTGTAGGTTTGACCCATTTGTGTTATATTTTCAGGTCCGCTGAGGTTCCTGTCCCAGACGGAATCAGTCACGTCTTTCCTGGGTGATACAGCTTTACTGAAGTGTGAAATAGTTGGGGAGCCCATGCCCTCTATCCATTGGCAGAAGAATCAAGAAGACCTAGTGCTGATTCCTGGTGACACCCGTGTGCTGGTTCTGCCTTCGGGGACACTGCAGATTAGTCGACTTCAAGCGGGAGATGCTGGACTCTACAGATGCTTGGCCAAAAAACCCCGGCAGCTCCAGGACGGGGAATGAGGCTGAAATCCGCCTTTTATCCGGTGAGCGTACTTTCAGATTTTTGCATGGTTAACCACTTCAATACCGGGCACTTTCACCCCCTGCCTGCCTAGGCCAATTTTCAGCACTCTCGCACTTTGAATGGTAATTGCGCGGTCATGCAGCACTGTATACATAATACATTTTTATCATCTTGAGACAGATAGAGCTTTCTTTTGGTGGTATTTCATCACTTGGTTTTTAATTTTTTTCTAAACAAACAAAAAAGGCCTAACATTTTGGGAATAAAAACAATTTTTAATTTTGTTTCTTATTAAAAAATACTCTTTTGTTATAATATTTTGCAAAAAAGGTAATTTTTCTTCTTCAATAATGTGCTCTGATGATATTGCACTGATGGTCACTGATAGGATGCATTGATGGGCACTGATGAGGCTGCACTGATGGGCACTGGTGAGACGGCACTGATGGCCATTGATGAGGAGGCACTCATGGGAACTGATACGCTGCACTGATGGGCACTGATGAGGCGGTACTGATGGGTACTGATAAGGATGTACTGATGGGCACTGATAAGATGCACTTATGGGCACTGATGAGGCGGCACTGATGAGGATGTACTGATGGGCACCGATAAGCTGCACTGATGGGCACTGATGAAGGGGCACTGATGAGGTGGCTCTGATGGGTGCTGAGTAGGATGTACTGATGGGCACTGATAAGCTGCACTGATGGGCACTGATGAGAAGCCACTGATGAGGCCGCACTGATGAGGTGGCGTTGATGGGCACTGATAGGCGGCAGTGATGGGCACTAATATGCTGCGCTGATAGACATAGATTGACACTGATGGGGCTGCACTGATAATCAGGGCCTTTGACCTGTGATAGAAGTTGCTCTGGGGAGATGGGGGGGGGGGGGCTCTGATGAACAGGGGGGACTCTGGTCAGTCCCACCCCCTAGGAGAAAAAAGCCACTTAAAGGAGCAATTTAATCTTTAGTATATAACTCCAAGCAGAATGAGAGGCTGTAAACGGCATAGTCGCTTTCTGTAATTTTCTGTCAATTTCGGACCCACCACCGTCTTTTCTTGAAACGGTCCCCAAAGCACAATTCTGCCTAAAACTTTATCTGGTCCGTCAATCTCCCAGCATGCTCCACCTAGCGAGCGCGCTGTTCGGTCTGGAGTGTAATTAGGAGATCTTGCAGTAGGTGTCTTGTTTGGGAATTATTTGTATTTCGTTAAACAATAGAGATTTATCACCGCCGCTCGTGCTGGAAATGACTGATCCTTCAGATCGGTATAATTTTACTAGACTGGCAGATTTCCCAGCTTTTTAAAAAAATTTTTTTTCTAACTTGAAGAAAAACTCCTGATGTGAAATCTGGCAGAGCTGACATGATGTACTACCACCGCGCAACAAAAGTATCAGCTGTGTCACACAATGGAAGCAATGAATGGCTTCTTATTTATGGAACGATAGATAAATAGCAGCGCTGGAACAGGGAAATATTTTAGAGTGTTTACCTGAGACAAGCAATAAAAAGACAACGGGAGGGCGATTGTATGCGGCTTCCTTCAAAGTGAACACATTAGCCTATGGCGACTGATATCATAGGGCCCAACCAGAAGACTACATACCCTGGGGGTTTTTGCAAATGGTAAAGCTGGTCGGTGCTAGAGCTACAGGGAAGGATTGTGTAAGAAGGAGGGTTGGGTGAGATCTAGTGTTAGGGTTACACTGAGGGGTGAAGGTTAGTGTGAAGGTTACAGGGTTGGTTAGCCTTAGGGTTACAGGAAAGGTTAGGTGGATAAGTGGTTAGCCCTTCCACCTACTAGCACTAGGGTCATCGGTTTGAATCCCTACCATGACATTACCCACCTGGAGTTTGCATGTTCTCCCTGTGCCTGCATAGGTTACCTTCCACACTCCAAAGACATGCTGTGAGCTTAATTGGCTCCTGTCT